TGATAATGTAGTTTACTACACCACTGATAATGTAGTTACTACACCACTGATAATGTAGTTAGTACGCCACTGATAATGTAGTTACTACACTACTGAACTGATAGTGTAGTCACTACACCACTGATAATGTAGTTACTACACCACTGATAATGTAGTTACTACACCACTGATAGTGTAGTCACTACACCACTGATAATGTAGTTACTACACCACTGATAATGTAGTTACTACACCACTGATAATGTAGTCACTACACCACTGATAATGTAGTTACTACGCCACTGATAATGTAGTTACTACACCACTGATAATGTAGTTACTACACCACTGATAATGTAGTTACTACGCCACTGATAATGTAGTTACTACGCCACTGATAATGTAGTTACTACGCCACTGATAATGTAGTTACTACGCCACTGATAATGTAGTTACTACACCACTGACAATGTAGTCACTACACCACTGATAATGTAGTTACTACACCACTGATAATGTAGTTACTACGCCACTGCCGCTCACCCAGCCTAAATCCCGACAAACCACGTCCATACTCTTAGTTTTTTCGGTAAAGTCACGTAGGTAAAAGATGAAATGAAAATTTATAAAAATAAAATAATTTTAATAAAATAATTTTATTATTTTCTTTTTATTAATTTAATTTCATTTTTTACCTATAAACCCTTGCAGTCACGAAAGCTTCAAATCTAGAAACCACGTGCAACCACTGATGCCTCCACCTCCCCTGACATTTCTCATCTCCCCCGCCCCTCTTCCATCCCTGTCCCCCCCCCCACTCCTCCTCCTCATTACTGAGTCTATTGGTGACTGCGACAACGGCGACGAAGATGAAGAAGCAGCAGCAGCAGAAGCGTCGACTCCGCTCTCCGCGCACCCCATCCCGGGCTATGTGGCAGCAGCACCCCCGTGGTGCCCGTGACCTTCTTTAAATCTCTGGCGGAGGAGGGGGTGAGGCTGTGGTGCCACAACGAAAAGCTCTGGGGGGGGGGGGGGGGCGAGGAAGGGGGGGGGAATGGCCCGGGACCCGAGTTCGATACCCGCCGAGGGCTGACATTGGCGCAGACATGGAATCTGTGAATGACGGGGAAACTCCATCCCGTCGCAGAAGAATGTGTCATTGATGGTGAGCAAAGACGAGACGAACAACACTGCAGTTTTTCAGCGACTGCTGATGTGTGTATGTATAGTTGATTGAGTCTATGGGTCTCTGTGTGAGTCTATGGGTCTCTGTGTGGGTCTATGGGTCTCTGTGTGAGTCTATATGTCTCTGTGTGAGTCTATGGGTCTCTGTGTGAGTCTATGGGTCTCTGTGTGAGTCTATATGTCTCTGTGTGAGTCTATGGGTCTCTGTGTGAGTCTATGGGTCTCTGTGTGAGTCTATGTGTCTCTGTGTGAGTCGATGGGTCTCTGTGTAGGTCTATGGGTCTCTGTGTGAGTCTATGGGTCTCTGTGTGAGTCTATGGGTCTCTGTGTGAGTCTATATGTCTCTGTGTGAGTCTATGGGTCTCTGTGTGAGTCTATGGGTCTCTGTGTGAGTCTATATGTCTCTGTGTGAGTCTACGGGTCTCTGTGTGAGTCTATGGGTCTCTGTGTGGGTCTATGGGTCTCTGTGTGAGTCTATGGGTCTCTGTGTGAGTCTATATGTCTCTGTGTGAGTCTATGGGTCTCTGTGTGCGTCTATGGGTCTCTGTGTGAGTGTATATGTCTCTGTGTGAGTCTATGGGTCTCTGTGTGAGTCTATGGGTCTCTGTGTGAGTCTATGGGTCTCTGTGTGAGTCTATGGGTTTCTGTGTGAGTCTATGGATCTCTGTGTGAGTTTATGTGTCTCTGTGTGAGCCTATGGGTCTCTGTGTGAGTCTATGGGTCTCTGTGTGAATCTATGGCTCTCTGTGTGAGTCTATGGGTCTCTGTATGAGTCTATATGTCTCTGTGTGAGTCTATGTGTCTCTGTGTGAGTCTGTGCACATTTGTTGAACGTCTTTCACAACGTACATAGCCAACCGCACTAATCGGAGGCGCGGGGGAAGGACAACAAACGAAACACACGAAATTATTTTTCCCGCACACTACACAAACGCCCGCGTCGCTTCACTGCACGCCCCACTGTGTTGCTCTGCGCGTTGCTGTTGCGTCTTGTTGCGAACCTCATTGCCCGACGATTTGATCGTCGGTCCGATTTAACTCGGCTCATCAGACGAGGGGTGTTGGGGTGGGGGTGGCAAGGCTGGAGGGGGGTGGCAGGGGGGGTGGAGGTCACGGCACAATCTGTGCCAAGCAAAATATCCGAGCGGGTAACGAGATAACGATGCGGTTAGGCACGAGCCGTTGCGCCCCGCCGTGCACGTTGCGTGACGAGACGCCACGTGGCTGAACTCGCTCGTGGGCTCTGGCCACAGACCCAGGGCCGCTCACCTTGTTGCAATACAGAGTTGGCCTGATAACTTGAATCTACATTGTCTTATTGTGGTTATTGTTTGACGTGCATCCCGCTGGGATTTTTGCACACAGCAGTTGAAATATTCGGTGTTTTTTCTGGAAGACTTTGCTGTTTTGTCCAGGATTTTTCTGTTGCGTGTAGACACTTTAAGATACTTCTTAGGTTTTTTCGGTAAAGTCACGTAGGTAAAAATAATAAAAATAAATAATAAAATAAATAATTAAATTCTAGAAATAATAACAGAAATAAAATAATACCTACGTGACTTTACCAATTAAACCTAAGAGTATGAATCCTTGCAGTCACGATAGCTTCAAATCTAGAACACTTTAAGATGTTTCTTGTTCATGTTTTTGTTGCGGCGGTTGCACCCGAGTGAAGAGCCGCATGGCTCACAGGGTTATTCCTAATTAATGAAAACTTAAACTGAACCCCCCCCCCCCCCCCACTGCAGACCAAATAGCAGCGGAATGTATCAGTCGGCGCTGGTAGAATGTCTCTCGTCGCAGCTGTGCTGCATTGCAGCATACTGGAGTAAAGTCGAACGCAATACAGCTACCGGTGGGTGAGCGAGTGAGCGAGCGAGTGGGTGAGTGACTGGATGAGTGAGTGGGTAAATCCATGAGTGAACGGGTGAGTGGTTGAGTGAGTGGGTGAATGAACGAGGGGGGGGAGGGGCAGGGGAGGGGGCGGGGCTCGTAGGTGGGGGGATGGAGGGGGTGGTGGTGGTAGTGGTGGAGGCGGTGGTGGTTTGGGCGATGCGTTCGTCAATTCGCTTTTTGACTTTTTCCCGCTCATCTCCCCCGCGCGCGCGAGTGGCCTGCCGCAGGCTTCCTTGCGATTGACATTTGATGTCGTTATTGTTGTTGTTGTTTGACCCGGAGGGAGTTGATGTGCTCGCCCTGAAAACCCCACGAGTCGCTGCTATTACAAGGGTAACCTTGATCGAGAGAGAGAGAGACAGACCCCCTCTCTAGACGGACGCTACATTCACCGACTCTTCCACGGTGGTGAGACGCTTTGCTAAAGGGGGTAAGCTACCCACACGGCGTTTGGCTCAAGACGGTGGGGGTCACCGCATCTTCTGCTGGCCGTCTGGAACGCTCTTTCCTTCCGATATTAGGAAGCCGCTGCAGCTGTTCACTTTGAAAGCATCTCGATCGACAAACGCACGTGTGTAGAGCTGCTTCTTGTGTCGAGTTTGCTGTACCTTCACCCCCCCCCCCGCCGCACCTCCGATTAGCGTGGCTGGCTATGTACGGCGCGAAAGAAGTTCAACATACAGACCCGACGTACCCCACCACACGCGCCTCCAGCTACTCAGCGTGGTGTTAAGCACTTCCACTGCTTGTGTGGACAGGACAAAGGCAGTGAGTGGGGCTGGTGGTGGGGGGGGGGGTTAAGAAACCTGCACTATTGTCTCAGTTGCCGCTCCAGGAGATGGAATCGAACCGGCGATCCCTCCGGATTGCAAGCCCAGCGTGGTGCCCATCACAGCAGCAAGGTGGCAGCCGTCCCGCGCTTTCGCACACGCAGCCAACGTGGGAGCTCAAATTCACGGCGACCGAATTCCTGTTGAGCACGTGGGCTGTCGCCTGATGACGCTGCTTGTGATTACTGGCGAAACGTCGGACTCGAATTGTAAATGTTGTGGGTTTACTCTCCAACACGAATTGGCACGTTATTGTAAAAGTGACAAACCTCACTAATTGGCTGTGCCGGGCGGTGGCGGGTTTAACGACACATTCATATATTTACGCGATCTAACACAACAACAAAACCTCTATAATTATTAACCGAATTCCTCAATGCGCATCGTGCCCCTATCCGATGCAAAGCTCCGATATCCCAACCATCATCGTCGTCGGTTAGCTATGTTGAGGCTCACAAAAGGTACGAAACGAGTCCCGAGGCACCAACGGAAGTAGGAATCGCGACTGAACGGAGCGCTGCACATCGACAACAATAGCACGTGAACTCAGACTCACACAACAACAAAACCCTCCCAAGACGACAAGTAACATCGCGTACGCTGGCTTGTATCATGGACAAACTCGCTAACCCACTCTCTCAGTGCCCCAGGGTCTCAATGCCCCGTATCCCATTTCCCAGGGTCTCAATACCCCATATCCCATTTCCCCAGCGTCTCAATGCCCCGTCTCCTATTTCTCTAGTGCCCCAATGCCCCATATCCCATTTCCCCAGCGTCTCAATGCCCCGTGTCCCATTTCCCAGGGTCTCAATACCCCATATCCCATTTCCCCAGGGTCTCAATACCCCATATCTCATTTCCCCAGGGTCTCAATGCCCCATATCCCATTTCCCCAGGGTCTCAATACCCCATATCCCATTTCCCCAGGATCTCAATATCCCCATGTTCCATCTCCCCGTGTCTCAATGCCCCAAAATCCCAATGCTCCACTGCCCCAATAAACCAATGCCCCAACGTTATATTCCCCAGCCTTCCAAAGTGCCAAAGATCGAATGCCCGATCGCCCCGTTGCCCCCGATGCTCTGGCCCCACCGCCGTCGCGTGGCTCACCGATGTTGTTCTTGAAGGAGCGCGGGAGCGAGCCGCCCCTCTGGGAGATTCCACGCAGAGAGTGACTCTCCGCTTCCTCCTCCCGGGTAGCTCCCCTCCTCGGCAACGCGGCCACGAGAGCGGTCCTCCTTGTGTGTGTGGGGAGGAAGGAGGAGGGGGGAGGATTGAGATAGTTCTAGACTTGAAGCTTTCGTGACTGCAAGGAATCATATTCTTAGGTGTTTTCGGTAAAGTCACGTAGGTAAAACATCAAAATTAATAAAAATAATAAAATAAAAATAAAGATCACGACGTTTCGGAGGCAACACAAGTCTCCGTCATCAGGTGGGACAGTCACAGCCAGATCAGCTGCATCAAGTGAGGCAATGATTCAAGATGTAATCCCTTAAAAGCGAGTTGAGGGGGGGAGGAGAGGGGGGGGGGGAGGGGCTCATCAGAATGTGGTAGCCAATGAATGGAAAGTATCGGGAGAGAAGGGCCAACAAAAAGGATTGAGATAGATGGAGAGAGGGGAAGAGATGGAGAGAGAGAGGGAGAGGAATGGAGATAGATTGATAGAGGGGGGAGAGAAGGGTGTAGAGGGATGGAGAGAGGGGAAGAAATAGATGAAGAGAGAGATGGAGGCAGGGTGAATCTGAGTCTGAAACAGGGGTCCTAGAAACATCTGGCAATTCATCCGCATTGCTTCCAGCAAGTCCGATGACTCTGCTGATGAGACGCTGCATGTCGAAACCGGACCAGCGTTCGCTTGCATTGAACCAATGTGGAGCACGGGTCGAGGTTGGACTTCACTCGCCACTGATGTTAGCCGTGGGCAAGGGTGGGGAAGAGGAGGAGGGGGGTAGGGGGGGTCCTCAATGACGTGCTTGGGTCGATGAAGAGGAGATCGTTTGGGAGGCCGATTCCTGCCCTGCGCGACACGGCAGATGTCCCATATCTATCGAACCAGGACCACACGTACACGTGCGTGCAGACACACAGAGACAAACTACACACATTAAATAGATAGGCGCTCGTACAGACAAGGAGATACACGGGCAGGGAGACGAAACAAAGACGAAGATCCCCCGTGTAGCCTCGAACAGACTGTTAGGGCAAGTGCTGTTAGGAACACCTATGAAGGTTGGAACGGTACACAAGGTGGTGGGTGGCCAGCACCACGCACAGCCAACTTTATCTCCTTAGTGGCGATGTTTTTACGCACCGCACCAGGTACTCATTTGAGGCTGAGTCGACCTAGGGGAGGCCCAGGACCCGTTCAGAAAATCGTCACTGATGTTTGCCGTGAGCGGGAACCGAACTCGGGTCTCCCGGGTTCGAAGTTTAGCGCGCTAATCGGGTTTACAGGCAGACACACACACACAGACAGACTGCAAGCACTGAGACAGTGAGATAGACAGGGAGACAGACACGCGTACAGACACGTCGTCACACAGACAGATACTGAGAGACCCTAGCTTCGTGACCCTTCACTCAATGACCCTTAGCACCGTGACCGGTCTCAGCCATAAGCAGAGCACACGAAACAAAGATTTCCCCGTGTCGCCACGAACAGACTGTCGGGGCAAGTGCTGTTAGCGAACCGCTATGAAGACCGGCACGGCACACACGAGGTGGTGGGTGGCCAGGACCACGCCCGGCCACCTTTGTTTCCCCGGTGGCGATGTTTTACACACCGTTACCAGGTAATAATTTGAGGCACATGCACACACGCATACACTTTCATCGCAACGAACCGTCCGCTCCTGTCTGGGACAACGAGCCGGCAAATGAATGTCCACACCCACGACACCGCATCCAGAATAGCCTCGCGCTCATGGGCTCTGAGGAATCAACTCATTGGTTAAACACATTCTGCAATTGTCTCATTCTCGAGTCTGCCTCATCTCCCATCTCCCTCCCCTCATCCTTCTCGACGCTGGCTATCATATTCTTTGTTCTTTCGGTAAAGTCACGTAGAAGGGAAATAATAAAATAAAATAAATTATTATTTTTATAAAATAATTTTTTTATTTTATTTCATTATTTCTCTTCTACGTGACTTTACCGAAAGAATCAAGAATATGAATCCCTGCAGTCACGAAAGCTTTAAAGCTGGGTATCTTAAATATTCACGAAACCCCGAGTGCAGAGCGGCGAACACGTGTCACCATTAAAGCCTCCACGTACATACAAAGCAAAGACAAAGCACCCCCCCCGTATAGCCTCTGCACACTCTTGGGGCAAGTGCTGTTAGTGAGCACACCTCATACAGAGGCACACGCGCAGCAGTCTTCACTTTGACAGATCCGCGTTCATTCACCAACTTGCTTACTCGTCAATACAATCATTCATTAATTCAAAGGTTTATTAATTCATACAATCGTGAGATGAAGAGTACATTTACATAAAATATAAACGAGGTGGGGGGGGAGGGAGGTTATCAATACGTAAAGAGACGCTGAATAATTCTGTGCATGACTGTGTGTGTGCGAGAGTGCGTGAATGAGTGTGTGAGTGGGGTATGAGTGAGTGAATGAGTGAGTGGGTGCGTGTGTGTGTGAATGAGTGTGAGTGTGTGTGCATGAGTGTGCGTGAATGAGTGTGTGAGTGGGGTATGAGTGAGTGAATGAGTGAGTGGGTGAGTGTGTGTGTGAATGAGTGTGAGTGTGTGCATGAGTGTGCGTGAATGAGTGTGTGAGTGGGGTATGAGTGAGTGAATGAGTGAGTGGGTGAGTGTGTGTGTGAATGAGTGTGAGTGTGTGTGCATGAGTGTGCGTGAATGAGTGTGTGAGTGGAATATGAGTGAGTGAATGAGTGAGTGTGTGTGTGTATGAGTGTGAGTGTGTGCATGAGTGTGCGTGAATGAGTATGTGAGTGGGGTATGAGTGAGTGAATAAGTGGGTGAGTGTGTGTGAATGAGTGTGTGAATGACGGTGTGTGTGTCAGTGTGTGTGTGTGTCAGTGTGTTTGTGTCAGTGTGTCAGTGTGTGTGTGTCAGTGTGTGTGGGAGCGTTAGTGTAGCGGTTAGCGCGCTGCGCTATTAACCTGGAAACCCGGGTTCGATTCGGGTTCGATTCCCGCTCGCGGTCAACACCAGTGACGACTATCTGAACCGGTCCTGGGCCTCCCCTAGGTCGACTCAGCCTCAAATTAGTACCTGATGCGGTGTGTAAACATCGCCACTGGGGAGACAAAGGCGGCCGGGCGTGGCGCTGGCCACCCACCCCCCTCGTGTGCCACATAGGTAACAGCACTTGCCCCAACAGTCTGTGAGAGACGACACGGGGGGGGAATCTGTCTTTGCGTGTCACATCACCGCATTACGTGTGTGTACATCATTATATATAAATACATCTCCACTTAATCTCGTCCCCGTCTCGGGCGACATTCAGAACGCGAGCTGACGCAGCAGCAGCAGTGGCGAGTCAGTGGCAGCCGGGGACAGATTAAATGGGGCCCGTACGCACGTACACACACACACACACGTACACACGCGTGCACACACACACACACGTACACACGCGTGCACACACACACACACACGTGCACACACACACACACCTGCACACACACGTGCACACACACACGCACGCACACACGCACGCGTGTGCGTGTGTTTAAATATACATAAGCTATTTTAAATAAATAAAGACATCGCGGGGGATTTTTGTCGCGTGTCCATCTATCACCCCCTCCGATTGAGGATTTATGCTCAAACGAGAGACTTGAGTCTGTAGGGGGGTGTGGGGGGTGTGGGGAGATAGGGGGGGAGATGGGGGGGGAGATGGGGGGGAGATGGGGGGAGTCACCATTGGGCAGCTCAATTGAGTGGCTGATTGATCGAGGAGCGTGAATCTGGCAGAAGAATCAAGATGCACGTTGCAGGCTGCTGCTGTTGCTGCTGCTGCTGTTGTTGCTGCTGTTGCTGCTGCTGTTGCTGCTGCTGTTGCAGGCTGCTGCTGTTGCTGCTGCTTCTGTTGCTGCTGTTGCTGTTGCTGCTGCTGTTGCTGCTGCTGTTGCTGCTGCTGCTGTTGCTGCTGTTGCTGTTGCTGCTGCTGCTGTTGCTGCTGTTGCTGCTGCTGCTAAGGAGCTACGTGTACGTCCATTAAAATAAACGTTATGTCCACAGCAGCTCTTTGTATATGTGTATGTATAGAATGACGGAGAGCTGAGAGAGACAACAATCAAGAATTACGCCTTGAACAGACGGTCGAGGGCCAAGTGCTGCCAGGTTATGAATTCGCACACAAAGACAAAGGTCCCCCGTATAGCCTTCGCAGCCTTTTGGGGGCAAGTGTATCGAGCAGAAACCTACGAAGGTCGGCAACAGAGCACAACGCCCGGACGCCTTTGTCTCGTTTGAGGCCGAGTCGACCTAGGGGGAGGCACCAGGACCGGTTCAGATAATTCTCACTCGTGCCGGTGGCCGTGAGCGTGGGATGTTTACACATCGCACCAGGGACTCATTTGAGGCCCAGTCGACCTAGGGGGGGAGGCCCAGGAGGGGTTAAAAAATTCGTCACTGCTATTTATCGTGAGCGGGAAATCGAACTCGGGTCGCCGGGTTCGTAGCGTAATGTGCTAACCACTGCGCCACCGCTCCCCATACATTCACAAAGATCCCCCGTATAGTCTTAACAGACTGTAGGGGCAAGTGCTATTAGCGAGCACCTATGAAGGCCGGAACGGCACACGAGGAGGTGGGTGGCCAGCACCACGCCCTACCACCTTTGTCTCCCTAGTGGCGATGTTTACACACCGCACCAGGTACTCATTTATGGCTGAGTCGACCTAGGGGAGGCCCAGGACCTGTTCAGATAATCGTCACTGGCGGTGTTGGCCGTGAGCGGGAATCGAACCCGGGTCGCCAGGTTCATAGCGCAGCGCGCTAACCGCTGCGCCACCGCTCCCCACATTCACACACACGCACGCAGGCGCACGCACGCGCACACACACGCGCACACACACACGCACGCACACACGCACACACACACACACACACGCGCACACACACACGCACGCACACACACACGCACACACACACACGCACACACACACGCACACGCACACACACGCACGCACACACACACGCACACACACACACGCACACACACACGCACACGCACACACACGCACGCACACACAC